TTTCGCAATTTTGCGATCAAAAAGATGTTCAAGTGTAAAGCAATAATGAACTGTGTTATTTCTCATTTTATTGGTGAAGATGGTAAAATCTAGACAGTATTTTTAAGTTTTGTAATCCCTGTCCTACTTGGAATGTGTATTCATTTGACAATAGGTACTAATCTTAATTTGATTGGGTAAAGGCAGTTAACTAGATAAAATATATTTTACTCTTACGGCTTTTTTTAAATAATGATAGAAATTAGTTGAACCGAGGTGAACAACGACAGTTGATTGAAAATGGATCATCTCTATAGGTTTCTTAGTATTCAAAGGCGTTCCAGCCCACTTGATATCCACTTAATTTCGTTTGATCTTCAGTTAGATTACTAAGCAACTTCGTAATTAGCATCAGCGTTGGAAATTTAATGTAATATACAAATTTTATATGTTTGTCCTATAATATCAAGTAGAAAGTTTGTTTTTCTCAGTGAAGGGAGAAAGGCTGGGATGAAGAGGGAAACGTCATAAAATATCGCACAGGCCATAAATTTCCGTTTATAATGCGTGCAAGGACGGAAGTAAACAATTTAAATCCGTCCCTCAATAAATCCCACGACCATATCGAAATATAAACAATATCCCTCGGATCAAAGCTCGTTTACTGCCGTTTAAATTTGAATCCGCTTTCATTGCTCAGTCGGCAAATATTTGGCGTAACTTCTCAACCCTAACAAATCTACCAAGTAAAGTAACAATTTTATAGGAGTTCATTTGTGCAATTTTGCATCCTATACAAGGCGGAAAAAACATGCAAGAATAACACGTGAAACTAAAGTTTGTTTAAATAATATGTCCTCTCAGCGAATACGTGTGACTTATCACGCTTTTCTTTCTATAAAAAAAAAACCCCACCAAAGATGCAAACACGACCTCATAACATTTCATTTAAACCCACAGCACCGAATATTTATCTGCACTTTATAAAAAAGAAATGTTCTTGGAGTAGAAACGAGAATAAAAGTGCTGTCTCACCAGTATGATTTACCCTTCTTGGGTATTGACCCGGCCCTGGCTGTGTATGCTGATATGTCAGTGGGACCTCCCTCGCTATCTCTCCTCTTTCTTGTCGGTGAGACAACAAAGAAAGGAAAACAAAGGATACATGCACAAAGAACCCGTGCAAAACCGTTGAAAAGCCCAACTTTATAGATTATTGTCGATGAATTTATAAGACAGATGAAAGGGTTGTAAGTCATTTAAGGTTTATCGTTTATTTCGTATTTACTTAAAGATTCACGATGATCTGTTTTGCCGGGTGAGTATGTCTGGATTCGCATATTGAATAAGCCGTTTTCTAAACAAATAAAATTGATCTCTTTAATGTCCTTAATAAACAAAACGAAGATTGTTCCCAGAGAGTATGCTGTTAATAAAAATCTACTGTAATGCATATCTCTCTACATAAATTATATATTAGAGAAAAAGAAAGAAGTAGGGTGGGAGGGAGAGAGGGAAAGAGAGAATAAGAGTGAGAGAGAATGAGATTGAGAGAGAGAGAGAGAGAGTGAAATTGAGAGAGAGAGAGAGAAATTGAGAGAGAGAGAGAGAGAAATTAATATAGAAAGAGAGTGATAGAGAGAGAGAGAAATTAAGAGAGAAAGAGAGTGAGTGAGAGAGAGAGAGAGAGAGAGAGAGAGAGAGAGAGAGGAGAGAATAGTATAAAGTATCAAATAATTCAAAACATTGCCTTGTCAAATTATAACGACTTTTCAACTTTTGATCTAAATATGTTAACCATTTAAGTCAAATAAGCTCAATTAAGCTAAGCGACACGACGACAAGTTGGTCAAATTATCCAGAATGTATATTATTTATTTCCTACATTTACTTTCCATTTCCTACCTATAAAATTTTTGATTAAAGAAGTAAATATAGTTATGTTAAATATAGTGGACTAGGTAAAGGTGAAAATTACGTCAGACAGTGCCACTAAAGTACTCCCCCTCTTTTTTAACATGGTCAAAGTACAAAAGTAGTCTTAAAAAGCTGTCACTAAGCTGCCTTACTCTGCCTCCAACGCATGTGAATTACATTAGTACATTTTGTTTACACTGCTATTTTAAAAAAACACTCCGGTTTTAGTTTTACTAATCCGAGTATGTGAGAAAGTTTTGTAATCGTGAGGAAAAGCATAAAAGCGCTCTGACTTAACGCTGCAATTCGTCGAGATTGCAAACATTGTTACCGCATAGTCAACATAGTTCCAAGCCCCAAATGACCCACCCCTTATTATGAAAGCGAGTAAAAATATGCTACCACTCGGAAACTTTGCCATCTAGGTAAATTAATTAACAATAGTTTAAATTAAATACGAAATCCAATAAATACTGGAATAGAAATAAGTCAAAAGTATTTTATCATAGTTCTTTTTCAAAACAATATATCCTAGCTGAAAAGAATTACTTTTACAGCAAAATTAAAATAAAACGAATATTTCGCTCAGTCCAAAGCCTCGTTATCCCCTCACTCATTCCTACCTTTTAGTATCACTCACATTTTTTATCTAAATAATTATATATTGATGTGTAGAGATTAGTGACCGTTGATCGATAATTATTCAGATATCGTGAGATGCGGTCTGGTGTGGTGTAAATTGGCACTCTCAACACGACACGCAAGGATGGCACAATTACACAGAAGACAAACACTTTGAGCCTCTCAATAAAAGATCGAAACGTTGGCACGATAAAGAAAATGTTTTTCTGAAACCTACATCACACGATATCTGAATAATTATTATATATTGAATTGAAATTGCTATGTGGGATATGAGAGTGAGTAGCTGTACAACTTTTTCCTCACTCACTCATTCAATCTTTCTATCACTTCCTCACTTTCTCTCTCTCACTCACTCTCTCTCTCTCTCTCTCTCTCTCTCTCTCTCTCTCTCTCTCTCTCTCTCTCATTATTATATCTGTCAAGTATTCAAGCTGTTATAGTGTATTGCATGTTATTTTGCACAAATTTGTAAGTGCTTTTCAGGATTTGTTTGCTAATAGATTTATTACAGTGTGTAATGAGGTGATAACAAATTAATTTTATATGTATGAAATCTATATACTATTGTTAGCTAATTTTGTAATTATATAATTTTCTCTCTTTATTGATTAGTTAGAGTTAAATGTGAATATTTCTTTTGTTATTATTACTGTTCCACATTCAGCTTAAATTTTCTATATTTATTGTTGTTGTTTTTATTATTAGATATATATGATCATCTAGAAGTGCATGTATGTAAGTTCAAATTGTAATAGTTCGATTCTCGTTGGGTGTAAGAAATGTCAACTTGACAACTCTGGGAGATTGGTAAAAAGAAATCGTTTATCAAATCCAATTAAATGAAATCTCTCTCTCTCTCTCTCCCTCTCTCTCTCTCCCTTACCTCAATCTATCTATCTATATTTATCTATCTCTATCTATCTATATCTATCTATCTCTATCCATCTATCTATCGATCTCTATATATCTATCTCTATCTGTATATCTCCATCTATCTATCTCTCTTTATTTATCTATCTATCTCTATCTATACATCTATCTTTCTCTCTATTTCTCTATCTCTATCTTCTATCTATCCATCTCTATCTATCTATCTCTATCTATCTATCTCCATCTATTTATCTCTATCTATCTATCTGTCTCTATCGTCTCTCTGTCTATTTATCTCTATCTATCTAACTCTATCTATCTATCTCTATCTATCTATCTATCTCTATCTAACTATCTATCTCTACCTTATCTATCTATCTATATTTCTCTCTCTCTCTCTATGTCTACCTCTCTTTTTCTACTACACAACTTGAATTATGAAATTGTAATAATAACAGAAATTGGTTATGTCTGGAATACAGCTTTTTCTGTACATGTTTTAAATAATTCCTGAAAACATTCATAAACCACTGCTTTCTAAATGTCATGCATTTAAACACGTTAATCATGCAAAATTAACAGACAAGTGCATTACAGCTGAAAATACCGTCTAGATCCAGAGATCAATTCACGTGTGTGAAGGATGCGTGCAACGTATTCTCAAAAAATGGGGTAACGATACTTCAAATTCTAAGTGTAAAGGAGAAAATAAGCCAGCCACAATAAGCGGGCAAAAGCCGGATTGCAATTATTCTAGTCTGCCAACTCTTCCAATTGTTCCTTTGTCAAGCATTCCATTATTACCAGGGGGGGAAAAGAACTTGAACGACTAGACAATTGAGGGCATTTGATCGTCGCATGAATGTATTACTAACTGTTCGACAGCACGTTTGTTAATTATCTTTTTCGCATTTACTTGTTATGTTACGACATTCGTAATTAAATTTACTTGTTCAATTGCCTATTAATTAATTGTAAAATGCCTCGTGCATGTCAATTGATTAATAACGGTGCGCCTTATGATCATTATCAATAGTCTAAGAATGTCATATGATAATATTTTAAATTATAATTGATTTACTATAAAGGACTGGTTTTTTTTCTTCCCTAGATGTAGTTTTCAATAGTTGCAAAAGATATATTGAGTTTATTTCAGTTTAATTTTCGCCTAATAGAAGAAAAAACGCGTGAAAATTGAAAATTTACTTAATAAGACTTATTACTGCTTAGTTAAAGAATATTTACATACTTGCTAACAAATTGGAAGATTTGAGAGTAAATAGTATTCTAACAGGCACAACCGGATGACTAAATGTGCTGCATACTTTCTAATTATCCAACATTGTTCAAATACTTAAGTTAAGCCGTCGTGCTTTGGAAATTCGGTGTTTGTTCATCTACTGCGTGTAAAAGGTAAGTAAAAATTAAGAGACACTTGCGCGACAGTAGGACAAACTAAATTAAAAAAAAACGACTTTTACTAGTAAGAAGCAATTGGTAAAGAATAAAACTAAATTAATTGTTACGATTTTAAATATAGAACTCCTTTGCACGTCAATGTTTGTTTGTCAATGCAGTTGTTGACTCACCATTGAGGGCTGTCTTGCACACGCCTGCCAGGGCCGTCTCGACCGAGTTCGTCGTTGAGACTTGGTCGCAGAACCGTATGCACCACCAGCCGCCGGGCATCCAGCAACGCTGATCACGGCACCATTTCACACTTTTCGGAAAAAGAGAAAAGGAAACGTCACAACTTCAGAAAAACCACAGCATCACAGGCGTGAAGACACGATCGAGAGTGAAGACAGTTGAAAGTTTTGAGTGTCAATTATGATTGATATGCTGATTTCTCTACCACAAATGAATAAAAATAAATTTTAAACAAGATTAGAAATCTCAAATGAATTTATAATAACTTAATTTAAAGATCGTTGTGGGCAAACAACGTTTTAAATAAGATCGAGAAAAAAATTTAATACAACTCCATAAGGATGAACTGGTTAATTGTAACACCAACTTTTCTCAACTTTAATTCATTAATCAAAATAAAAATAAACACTTTTATTCAAGGGATCAACAAATGAAACATCAAAATGCGCAATTTCTTCGCAACTTGTTTTGTCAATTCCAACCATTTGGTCAGTGAGATTAGCTTCACATTCATCCCATTTATTCTCACTGGCACAAACACATGAATGTAGATGGAAAAATACTCCGCCAGTCTGGTAGGCCTAATTTTAGGAAATGACCACTGTGCAAAAAACAATCACTATTGTGCTCGTCCTTAAATTTTACACTATTTTTTCGCAACTCTGAATTTATCTTGCAGCCAACCACTGAAAGTTGACCGTACAGATATGGCATAATATCAGGGTTATAAGCTGGGTGGACCAAGAAGGCAGGTAAAGCTGCCATTTCTGCTTGGGCTGATCATGAACGGTTGAGCATTGCTTAAACCCAACCCGCCAAAGACCGAATTAAAACATCATGTACTCTGTCTAGCTGTTGAGCAAAAAGCACAAAATCATTAGTCTTGTCGTCTATGAAAAGGGACCACTTTCGCAGTTTTTGAAACACGACACTAATTTCTTCCATTTCAGCTAGTTCGGACCTTGCTAAACTCTAAAACTGGATTCTTTTGGTTTCAAGAAACACAAGTCCATATCCGCGGCTTTTGATTTCATTCAAACCTATCTGGACAGATCCTCACTGAAGATGGCGCAATGCCAAAATGAGTTCGATTCAAAACTAGCGAGAGACAACCAGTTCTACAAAATAGAGTGTAACCCCGGTCTAGTTTATTCAGGCTGCAATTGTAAAATAATTAACAAATCAACGGACGCCAGATAGACTTTGACTATCATCGGGTATACGTGTTAGCGGCCAGAAGATAGCTCCGAGTGAGTCGGGAGGGTTCGCTAATAACAATTAATTTATGTACTACAGACAATTTATGAAAATGGAAAACAATATAAAAAATAAAGAAGTGTGATGGTTTAACTAATTACAAAAATTTACAATGAGCAAATAAAGCAAAGGTACTTATCCTAACTTAATTTAATCCTTACACATATGAACTAGTCTTTTAATTTTAACGAAAGTGAGCACTCGCTTGAGACGGGAACCGGTAAATCCGACTCTACGTAGGCGAGACTATGGTAGCTTCTTTATTTCGGGTTACACACGAAGAGAAATCTATGATTTTTAGATTTGCAAAAGGTTAGCCGGATCGGTCAATTACTTCCTCTATCCACGAGTTCCGGCTGACACCTAAACCTTGGCATCTAAGCTCTCCGACCCTAACGCTTTTCGCTATAGTTCCACTGGATCCCTTATCGAAGCGATACTGCCCGTGCTGACTGGCTACTTCCATCTCTGTGCATGGATTTAATTGCCCGGTTATAAGAGGTTGTTTGCTTTTAAAACTTCAAATTTTCTACAGCACAAAGCTCCAGTCAACTGCAAAGAGCTCGATGAGCACACATTCACAATACCACCAAAGGCGATGCATAGCCGATGCCTTCCATTTCCAAAGTATTGCTCTTGCTACACTTCCTTGCCGTATTTCATGCAGTATACCTTTATTACAGTTAATAAAATGAAGATTGAACACTGGGTTAATAATTGCGTCCACCGGCCATCCCGGTTTGTGATGTTATTGAAACGCGTTTCGGCTTTACGCCATGTTATTCACCGAAAAACGGGCCCAGTAAGATATCAAGTGCCAGTTAAATATGTGTTCACCGACAGTCAGATCAACATCCCCCACCCGAAGATCGGTTATTTAAATTAATAATAATAATTTAATAATTAATTAATTTAAGATGTTGAGTATGAAGCTAAAGAGAAGCAATCACAGCTAGTTACACTGCAGAGATCAAAGTGCAAAACACCTTCATCTTGGGGAAATAACGGACTTTGGGCCTACGTAAGATATTTTTAAACACATGTTTTCATCGATTATGACACTTCTTCAACTAAATTGACCTATTTCGGACTTTGTAGCAAGTTGGCCCTAAAAGGGGTCGACTCGCTGTTTAGCTTGAGTCGATCAAACACCAAAGAAAATCTGGCCAGTTTTCTAACAAGGAATATATTGAGATTTTAATATTTCCTTAAAAACTTATAGTTTCACAGACAAGAACTTTGGAAACAAATTAGGAGCTTATGAAAAATAAAATGAAACTTAGATGCCAGAAGATGATCAGCTTACATGTATGAGGGCTAAACAGTACGCAATTCGGGTTATGATTACTAAGTTAACTAAGTTGCCACGTACGTAAAGAGAGCGAAACGGTTTTTGTGATTTGCTTTCAAAGCGAGAAGATAACGATCCATTTCATACAAGATTAGCGGGGGTTGTGAGCAAAGCCTAATGAAACCTCCATTATCGACTTCTAAGGGCGTACTTCACACAAAGAAAGTCGTGTTAAGTTTAGAAGATTTACCGTGAAACTCGGCGATACGGTCAATTTCATAAGCCGATTATGAAGGTAAAAGCTGAGCTGCTTGAAAAGAGAAATGAAGTTGCAGGTGCTTTATTACATTTTCGTTAATGACGCGGTGAAAATTGTTGCTTATTCGGGAAGGACCCACCGTACTTTTCGTTTTAAAGGTCTAATTGCTCAGATAAAACAACTTTTCAGCCAATATAAAAAGAAACAAAACAAAAATAGCAGAAAATTATTAAAAAAAGGCAGGAAAAATGTGACATTAATTAAAGATCATTTCAAAACATCCAACAGGACTTTTGGTAACTAAGTTAACTTAGTAAAAATATGTCAAACTATTGTGTCGTTTAACATCCGTGATTTAAACTATAAACGTTATAACATAAAAATTATGATCACGATGGTAGGATTTACTAAATATGATTTTAAAACAAATGTAAACAAGTTATATAATGGAAAATCGGCAAATAATGAATACCATTGCGGATATTGTATCTGCCATCTGAGTCAACAAGAACTTAACCCAGTTTTCCGCAGTGTTCCCCCATTTCATCCGACTCGTAAGCCATATGTATTACAATTTATTAATCATAACATCGACCGGTCCATTACGATTCAGCAGAAAATCGATTTATAGGTGTGTGATTTTGAAAGAAGCGTAAAAATTTGACCCTTTCAAACCCTTCCGCTTTAAATGGACAATTATGGAAGAACTATTGAAGGGTAAGGGGTGCAGTATGATAGAAGCGTGTGTAATTAAATTCCCCAAGAGACCAAGGAGGGTTTAATGGGTGGTAAAATGGAATGGGCTCGTCCGGCTCTGCTCCTGACCTATTTACGCCGACACGACACCATCCGGCCCAATTCTTAAACTACTCACAAATTGGACTTATCAATATGGAACTGAAAGATTTTTTTTTTATAAATTAAATTCCCCGTTGTTGGACCATAATGTCAAGCTTTCAAAGTTAGCGTTGATAAAAGATCAATATTCAGATTAAATTCGGGGGTGGAAAAAAGCCATTTCCAAATTTTACCCCTCTCCGATCTGATCGTTTACAACCAAATCGCCAATAAATAAATTTCATTAGCAAATCAAGGAACCGTAATTGTAGGATACACCGCAACAAATTAAAAACTAGAAATGAATGGGTGTATGAAAAAAAAGCTGATTTTTCAAATGCATGAATATCAATGACAGTAAATACGAATATTCCATTTCGTATCTTAAGTGTGTCCAAATTTTAGTCGTAAATGATCCTTTTTAGAAATAATGAATGGTGGAGCGAGCGTTTTGTTCAGTCTGTATAAAAAGGTAGTTCCTACTCAAAGTAAGTAGTGTCAAGTCTTACTGTAAGCAGGAACTATCTTTTTATAAAGAATGACCATTTTGGTCAGACCCAACACTGAAGACGACGGCATGCCGAAACGCGCCTGACAGAACCAAGATGCCCGGCAAGGAGCAATTTATTCTTTAAAAGTGTTATTCAAGCTTGTTTGTAAACGTTGAAACCTTGGTTACTTGTTAGGTCCGCCTAAACGCGCTGTTTTTTTTGTTTCTTTAATTGCGTTGAAATTAAACGCGTTTAACGATAACAAAAGAAGCAAACACAGATACAAAAAGTACCATCATACAGATGACTCATCACTTTTAAGGACATTATAAAGTAAAAGGAAGACCAAGGAAAAACCAGGAAAAAAGGGTCCCGGGTTCTATCCAGTGGCCTTGAATTCGAACCCAACATACCAACATATATTTTTTTTCAAAAACACCAGGACCCTATCTCTGTGTTGCGACGTCAATAATCACATACACAGAAAAAGAAAATAACAAACTCGAACTAAAAGCAGCAATAATAACACAGCTAGATTATTAAAAGGAAGCGTAAACATAACCGACCTGCCAGGCAATAACGGTGTTCATATTCACGTGTCAATGTGGAGACAATACATTGGACAGACTAGAAATTAAAAGATCGGTTCAGAAACATTTCTGTTCCTTCCGAGTCAAAGAGCGGACTAGTAAACTTATTGGATTTAGGTACCATGAGGACACCCATTGGCGGCCTTGGGCTCTTTTGGCATACCAATCTACCAAAAACGTATATCTATCAGACAACGGATAAAGAATAAGTCCTAGATTCAATGGGAATATATTCCAAGGCATGTGAAAACATTCGTCGAAGGACCATCCTAGAACTTATTAAAAGCTTGAATGCAGACCGGACATTACCGACTCCGGACGCATAGACTCAGAGTGGCTGTGCTG